ACCCAAATGTCAAGGTCAATGGAAAGTCGCTAACAAATGTACATTTCTCCTTCTCTGCCCCAGCTCAAAGCTGTGATAATGTGAAACCTGAGCTGCTGTCAAAACCCAAATCCATCCAGCTCAGATTACCTTGGGTAAGAAATCAGATAAGCATCCACTGTGCTCTCTACTTTCTAGCTCTTATCTATCTGCACAAGTGTCCTCCCATTTCCCTGTTCCTCTTCCTGAGTGTTAAGGTGGCGGAGTCTCTTTGACATAACCCCCACTATGCTGATCCCTCAACCTGTGGATGGAAGCTAAACTAACAGTCACCACTGTAAACCTTGTGGAGTTCCAGGTCCTTTCAAAGAAGAGATCAGCAAGCCTGGAATTAGCAGTCAAGATGGATTCTCTTGTCTGTTTTGTGACACTGGGGATTGAACCCATGACCTCGTCCATACTAGCCAAAGGCTCTGGCACTGACCTACATACCCAGCCATTTTTTTTCTTTTTTAAATTTTATTGTAAGACAGGGTTTTGCTGAGTTGCTCAGGATGACTTCCTCTTGCCTCAGCCTCCCAAGTAGCTGGGATTACAGGTATGTACCAGTGTCTAGCTGATACTCTCAAAAAAAAATTCTTTTTAAAGAGTATATGAAATAAGGATTCCTAGAAGGAAATATACTAACCACAACCAAGCTGATACAGACAAAAAGGTGATCCTTTCTTCTTAGTGATCTAACTGAAGGGAAATTCCAGAGGACCTATCTTTCCACTTCTGTATTCCTATATTCGAGTGTGTTAGAAGCCAGTGGCTGAAAATTATAGACAGACATCGCTGGTGGTAGAGAAAATAACAGCTAAGTGAAAGAAAGAGGTCTTCCAAAACTGAATCCTAAAGAGAAGCATCTTTTCCATGAATGAAGTCAAGCTCTTTTTGGAAGAGAGGAAGACCAACCTTCTACCATCCAGAACAATCATCCCTCACGGGCAAGATACTCACATACATTTATTTCCTAGAGGGCCAAGAAGACAGTGAACTTGGAAATCATGTGAAAAGGCCACAATGGGGTAGTAGAACAGAGACCAAGCCTGGAGAGTTTGAGAGCATCAGCATGATGTGAAGACAAGTGCAAGAGCAAATTTGTAACAGGGCTAGAATGACAAAAAAACAGATACCCGTCAAGCTTGTTGCATTGATATGTGAGAAGGTCTTAGAGGGCAATAAAACCTTATGTTATAAGCAAAGCCATGTATAGTAAGTTATGTTAATAGTACTAGGTACTCACCTTTGGGTCTCAAACACTCACCTTCAGGAGAAGGAACCAGCACCCCGTGGTTCACACACAGAGAATGGGCCTGGGATACACCAGTGTTGCAGGAAGCAGAAATACCTTCAAAGATGCCAGAGATAGATTTGCTTTTCATTAGTGATTGGACTTCCCCAATCCCTAGGTG